TACTACTACTACTACTACTACTACTACTACTACTACTACTACTTCTACTACTCCCCTTCTACTGTCACCTCCACCGTCTCAGTCAACCGTTATCACCGCCATAGGTGCCTATTATCCATATAACAGAATTCCTTCGTCCAGTTCGATTCAACTCGTATCATCACTCTTGTCCCTGTTCATTTTTTCCCTCAATTGTGCACTGATTCGTTTGTCCTAGCTTCCTAATATTGCTGTTAATGTATTTAGGAAACCTAGTTTCGTCGTCGGACAAATAATGACAAACCCTGAGGCAGTTTTACGCTGCACACTCTATCGGATTATTCAGGCTTGCGGCGAGCCTGGTTCTACCTCCGAGGATGTCGTTAATGCCCTCTTCAAGTACGCAGTGAGCCTGCGTGACCAGTGGTCTGTGCGCATATCCTCTGTTTCACCACTCAATCTCGACACGCTTGTCGAGGCCTTCGCTGATCGTGCCGTTATCCTGGCGCGTATTTTCATGTACCTGATGGTCTCTGGGACTTCCACCACCGTCGGTACTAAGGAGACCTCTGAAGACTTCGATGCCTTCCAGCCCACTTTCGTGGACGATATATCTGCTGCGTGTGCCAACAGTGGAGCTGCTGGCAGGATGCATTCTCCTAAAGTTGCAAAGTTTCTGGAACTCTGCAAACAGCATTGTGCGGCACCACCACCCGAGACCCTGTTTGATTGGCGCAGCCTTGAGCAGACTGCCACCCCGCCGCGCATTCATCAAGGACGTCGGCTACGCATGCTTCGTATAGACGATTTTGTTGGTAGCATTTCCATCGAGGCCTACGTTGAGTTCACAAAGCTGCGCCAGTCAGCCAGCTTCTTTGCCACCCGCAGCGTACTGCTTGCCTTTTTGCACTGGTTCTTCTCCGCCTCCTCATCGGAAACTGCAAGTCAGCGTTTCAGTGCAGGCGACCTCTTGGCCTACCTCTTCACTTCCGGCTTGTATGACCTCATTGATTTGGCCTTTTGCAATCGTCGCCTTCTTGGCATTCAACTTTCATCACCGATAACTTCCGTTGAATTGGAGCAGGCTAGTTTGCTTATTCGTAGACTCAGTTACCTTTGATGTAACTCTTGCGCGCCTCAGACAAAACTGCGTCCTCTGCAATCGATCTGTGATCGGTCCACTTCCTATATATATTTATCAGCATTTCGCCAACATTTACCGACTGTAAAAAGAGCAATATATTTTCTACTTAAATTGATTAAGTAACTTTTAATTTGTGTTTTTATGATTCGGTGTGTCAGCTGGTGGTTGACAAAACGTTTCCGGCAATTCCTCCTGAATGAACGAATTTTGTGGGCTATACCAGCTAGGCTATTAATTCCATTGGTAAGGCACATTGAGCTCGTATGTAGGTACATAAAGTGAAGTCGGAAGAGTTTGTTGATACACGTCTGCTTTGAGCTCATCATCGTCTTCGTTTGATTCCGACAGAAACCCCAAAACTTTAAATTAGAGTCCGGTGGTGAGTTTGTTGGTTTTCGTCGTACGGGCCTCAAGACGAACTGCGCTACTGTGTCATACCCAAGCGATTTTCACCCACGCTTGTAATGTACCTCATCGGTACCATGTCAGCTGGTCTGCTCGATCTTGCCTCTAGAGGACAGTGTGAGACCGACCTTGCTGTGGATGATTCGACGTGCTTTTTCGCTATCACAACGTGCTAATACTCATAGGCTGAAGAGATGCCAACAGACGG